ATCTTGTGGTACATTTCAAAGATGGAAACATTTCATTTTGGGATGCTAATAAAGTGAAAAAATATGAATGCCCCGGTAGTCTAGACTTGTATGATATGATCTTTTTGAAGAATCCGCAAGATGTTGATAATGAAGAAATTCGTCAAGTATATTCCAAAATATTGAAAATAACGAATGCTCCATATAAACAATATCATCTGAAGAATTGTTTTGAAAAGACAAATTCTAAAAAATTTCGTGAAGTTATCAAACCTCTATTTTACTCACCACAATATCCAATGGGAAGTAGAAGTAAAATTGGTGGAGCACTCAAACGAGTGAAAATGGAGAAAACATATAATTCTACAAGTTGTTAATGAATTACATAGACCTGCAGGACGTAATTTTTGCAGAAGAATAACCACCATCAAAGGTTTTGCAGATCTATGGCAAAGAGATCTAGCTGAACTACAACCTTACGCAAAAAGTAATAAAGGATATCGAAATATACTTGTAGTGATTGATTGTTACTCAAAATATCTGTGAACTGTAGCAGTTAAAGATAAAACAGGTAGTACAATAACTAATGCAATGAAACATGTACTAAAGGAAGCCAAATTTTCTCCCAAACATATACAAAGCGAAAATAATTTTTCAATAGAAGCTTCTCATCTCTCATGCGAGAATTATTCAACATTTAGCACAAAGAAGGCGGCTATAGCAGAACGAATGATTCGTACAATGAAGGCATGACTCTAAAACGAATTTTCGATGAGAGGTCACCACAAATGGCTTGATATTCTTCAAACTATAACTAGTAGATATAACAATGAAGTTCATCGTACAATAGGTATGGCACATATCAATGTTGATTCAACAACAGAATTGAAATTGAAAGCGTCATTCCAAGCTGTTTGCAATCTAAATTTTAACTGAATTGGGTAATCATCGAAATTATATACAGGGTCGACTTGTGTAGCAATGCTCGATGGTACTCGACTCATTTTGCCGAAAACCAATTCGTATGGACTATACCGAGTTTCCGTATGCACTGTATTATTATATGCAAAACACCAATATGGTATCCATGAGCTCNCGCATTGAATTTATTTTTATGATACATATTAATAACGAAGAACATTCAATGAATAAACGAACTGATAAAATGTCATTTTCAATCGAAAGTTTGTGTCTAATAGAATAGTATTGTTTGAATTTTGCACTATTCTTTGAACTTCTGGGCCAACCACATTTAACGTATTTGATTATTTTCTGTAAGACTTCGTCAAATCGTATGTGTTGCCTTATATGCTCAAAACGAACATTGGGCAATCCATTTTCAGAAAAATAGTGGATATAATCAACATCAACGGATTTCCACTCACTATCGCCTTCGTTAGATATAGGTAAACGCGAAAGAAAATCTGCATTATTTTCTGCGGAATTCACATATTCGATCTTATAGCGGTAATTGGAGAGCGGCGTAACCTATTCGCTGAATACTGCGGTATACCCTTTTTTTGGTTGAAAATTGCCATTAAAGGCTTATTTTATCGGTTACCAAAATGAACTCTCTGTTGTACAAGTACTGTACAACAGAGAGGTCAATCTGACTGTAATCTTTTTCGGCATCCGAGAGCGTACGGCTCGCATATGCTATAGGTTTCTCTATTTTATTTGGTAAGACATGACTTATCAAACATCCAATAACATAAAGACTCGCGTCAGTTGTCAGTTTTAGCTCATAGTCAGGATTATAATGTGTTAATACACTTGCTGACATTAATAAATCTTTAATTTTTTTGAATGCGGAGTCACACTCACGACTCCAATTGAAGGCTTTTTTTTCAAGCAAACTGTTTAAAAAATCTGTTTTTCCGTTAATCAGCTGTCGCCCCCATACGAACTGTATAAGGGATTTAGCACTGTTGCTAGGTTTGGAATGAATTTACCATAATAATTTATCATTTTCAGGTGGAAAAGGCTCATAAAATCACCTCCCAGTATTGGAATTGCCCCATTCTTTATGACAAATATATCTATAACGTGAGACACATCATTATAAAATATTTTAGCTTGAAAAATGCCTAAAGGTGCCATTACTTGGCCATTATAAAAATGCGAAACTTTGTGTGATGGAATGAGTGGATACCTTTTGAAATTGCTCAAATAAAAGTTTTCTGAAACCGCTGAAATACTCGCCCCTGAGTCCAGTTGAAAACAATATTCTTTCTCGGCAATCATAACTTTGATATAATAAGGTTCATTACTCACCGAACATGAGTTGATCGAAAAACATTCATCATCGTTCACTTCTAGAAAATCTCTCGAATTGTTCTTCCTACCGTGTTTATTTGGACATACTGGTGCCATATGTCCCTTAATTTTACACAAGTTACACGAAAATTCGCGATAACGACACTTGCTCGATGGGTGGTTTGTCCTTCCACAAACTACACATTTTTGACTCGCACTTCCACTTGCACCTTCTGAAATTTCTTCTGGTATGATAATACAATCATCTGAGTTATGTACTTGCAAATATTTAATAATTTCGCACCTTGGTGGAATCGTTATATAATTTTCATACTTGGATTGCAGTGGAATCGACAGTTTCCGATTGTTTATATATATAGAGAATGTGCATAATTCGTAGTTTAATATTGCAGAGTGCTTGACAAAGAAATTTTCCGTCTTCGTTCGTAAATAATAATTTCATTGTACTAAGGGGTTACGGTAGTAGACAATCTGTCATGTAGGTCGCCATATTTTTTTACAAATGGCATCTATGTAAAAAATTATGGTGGTCCCCGTGACTGATGTTCTCCTACCGTTCCTCTTGAATAGTTCACTACAATGTGATATAACAAAAACCTCAACCACAGCAACGCGTGGCTGGGTCTGCTAGTCATAATATCTGATTCGTTCTGAAGAATATGACTGTCTGAAACAGTATAAACTGATGAATATAATTTCAAATCATCTGCAAATAGTGAAAACTGTGTATACTGTAAACAATTTCCAATGTCATAGATAACAAATAGATTGAACAATAATGGTTCACAATGTGATCCTTGTGGCACACCGGAAATTACGGGAAGTGTTTCAGAAATGTAATTATTAATTCTAATACACTGAAAACGTTGTATAGGAAAGCTACTTATCCAATTCAGTATACCAGTACCAAAACCTCGATCTAGAGATCTGCGTTTATGAGATCGTTTTTCCAAATGAATCTAATCTCCAGCGATTCAAATCCAATGTGAATCGCAACTTCTGCACAGACGCCGCTCCCAGAGATTTTCCTGTAGTGCTTGTGTTTCGTCTTGAAAAAAATTGCATAGGCATGTTGAAATGCTTCATATTGGGCAGAGGGGCTGTAGCACTGATGATACCTCTAGTAGGTATGGACAGTGCCCTCTGGTGTTGGATCATGATTTTTTTGGGATATGTTACAACTATTCACGTTAGAGTAACACCTGCAGGAAAAAAACATGAAGCTATATTAGTGGCAGGAATCCTTGTTGGTTTTGTATACCTATGCGAAGTTGAGATGGTGTCTTTGTAGGCGGAAAGCATATTCCCAACTAGCAATCTTATATTTTATAATGGTTGTGAAAACGTTTCGGAGAAACGAATTAAAACTGTATTTCTCCCAGAAATGTTTCAATGTGTCCATAAAACAACTATAAATAGGAAATTGGAACCGTTTTATGAAACATTATTAATATTTTGTAAGGCCTTTCACAAACACTACAAAACAGTTTTATAAACCCTTCGGCAGTTACTATACAATTTTTCTGAAATTATTCATAAAGAATCGTACAAAATAATTGAAATACTATTTTATAACAGTTTTTTTGTAATTTCAAGTGAGCTTTATAAAATATAATGCAGCCTAAAACGATAAAATAAAAAAGTCTTCAAAATATTTTCTTAGAGGCGCAAGAAGTAATTTTGTATTGGACACCAGGAAAATATAATAGATATGTCACCAACTGAAAACTAACAAATGAAAAAGTAGGGGCCATTTTAATAATTCCACTTTTGTACCTATGAAACTGTTGAAGACATTGTATTTCAGAGATTGATATTTCAACTACGAATAAAATTTTATCGACAAATATATAGCCTTATTATTAGTAAAATTCAGGTGCGCCACTCTTTTGTTGAAATTTTTGGAAAAAATTATTATTTATACAAAAATTCACTCTGTCGACGTATTAATTTTCTAGTCGCAAATTAACTCTGTTTGTTCAACTCGGCTGATGTCGTTATTCCGAATTGGTATCATTTTAAAATGGCGTCATTCTATAAAATGATTTGTCATCAATAGCAAGAGTTTTAACGTATCTCAGCTTATATGTTACCCCTATAAAACTATTAAGAAACACTTCGTTCTAGGAGTAATGGTATTGTGGCAGAGTAGGACTACTTTCAAAGCTATAGATTTCTATAAAAATGAAGATAGGGTTTATCACGGATTATTTGTATAAATATTATCTGTCGGGATATTTTGGCTAAAAAAACAGTTGTTTGCCGAAAATAGGAAGCAACACATACGTACGGAGTCAATAACAGGAGCCAACCGCACACTGGAACCACAAATGTGCAATAATAAGATTATATATCTTGTAAAAAATATATAAATATGGAGAACTTACTAACGTGGGAATAAAATATGAAATGGTTCAAAAACAGATAGAAAAACATTAAATAATGATAAAAATTTTGGCTGACAATGTCAAGTGTGAAAATCCTGAATGATACTCGACTTACTAGATCTTTTATTTTCTTTATCATATTTCAGTAGGTACGTCTAAATTTTACTAAGACTATCAATATCAGTTCTATTATTCATTGAATGTTCTTCGTTATTAATATGTATCATTTCCAAAAATATTCTTTCAGTTGTATTGGGTTTCTCAATCTAAAATATTTGGATTTTCAAAATTCATTTTATGATCCTCCGAATTAACATGTTCTGTTAATGCACAAGAATTAACATTTCGTTTACAGTCGCTGGAAAGTTTTTTACAGTTATTTGTTGTTTAGATTGGCAGGTAACAACTTTTTGAATAATTTTATTGTTTTTTTCATAAATATAAATGATGAAGAGTGGGTACACATACTTGTTAGATTCTAAGTAGGTTGTCCAATTGAAATTTCAATAAAATTACCTTCCCTATGTGAAAATATTTTGTACTCCTACATCATACCATCAATTCTGAATAAAAATAATCTGATATGAATGTACCTACTCATTGGGAAAATTTTAATCGCAGTCGTATATGTTTTGTTTACTGTTCCTATAAGACTCACAAGACTCAGATCCGAGTCATTCCATATGGTTCTGTCTTTTATGTACGAGAATGATCTATTTATCAACATCAAAGACAAAGTCACTGTGTTTGTTGATGACACCACAAAATGGCAGCATTCCAAAATAAGAATAGCAACATTTCAGAGGTCTCAACAACTAGACTTGAAAAGAGAAGTAATGCTCCTTCGATAACATACTATACCCAAGGACCACTCCATGACATTTATCTAGGGAATGCAAGAATTGAGTCAGTTGAAGACTAAACTATTGAGTTAACGTTCGGATGACATTCTCTTATTTGATAACCATACCAAGTTCATACAAAAAACTGGAATTGACAAGTATTCCTAGCATTCATGCAATTCAAATGTGGAAAACTTCTGAAGGAAGCAAATTATTCCAAAATTACCTCTCAAAAAAGAAATATACATCATACATAGAAGTTATTTTCAAGTACAAACTGAAATTATTAGTCCTCTCGGTATAAACATTGAATCGCACGAAAGAAAAAGTAACTCCGAAAGAACTAATGTCATATGAACATTCACTTGTACATGAATTACTTTTTCCTATTCAGTTTGTATTACAAACTTTAGTTTTGGAATTTCTGCAGAAAACTACACAATATGGTACTATAAAGAGTTGCGATATGGAATTTCGCTCACATGGAACCCTGAAATCCTCAAGGGAAGACTTCTAAGCTTCAGAAAAAGAAATTTATCTCATGGTCTCATCAACATTAATCTGGATGGAACACTCAATTCATTAATGAAATTGCGATCTTACGTCACTAATGAGTTGAATCCACTCATGTCAAGATTATATGCTCATTTCATTCAATCCCAGACATAGGAATCTTGTTCAAACTGAAAAGAGTATACATTTGGGAGATATTAGTTTTTCGGAGAAAAGTGTTGGTTTTCTACATTTCCATCTTCCAATGTCATATTGACATTGAATGACAAGAAAGGAAAAATACTTTCGAAATAAATGCCGAAACGTTATGACATCACCTGACAGTACATTTTCGTTACAAAACTGAATCAGAAACAATCAAGAAGAGCTGGGAAACATATGTTGCTGGATAACATTTTTGTGAATATTTTGTTTGAAACTGAATGTCTTTCTTCTTCTATTTGGAAGTTTCTCACAAGTTTTTGTATAGAGATGGAGATTTTAAAAGTCAACAAGTTTTTCTCAAAGACGCGTAGTGAATTGTTCATACTTAATTTCATAAAAATTGTGGTCTTCACTACTTCAATTTTATTCTATGTTGAAAAACCATATTATAGTTGCAAAGACAATGTTGTCAACAAGAAAGTACTGTTCTTTGGTCACGAAAGTTTCTCTATTTCTATATATCTACACTCCTACATTTCTGTAAGTACTACTCACCACAGTCATACTCGGTAGCTTGTATATTTGCAAATGAATTGGTAAAGTCCAACCTAATAACATCTGTAACGTTTACTTGAAACTCATTTCTTGATATCTTTCCTTCACACTACTTTCAACAGAGTCAATTTGTCACAGACGGCATATATCACTTTTTCCTCAAATGGTATTTTGGAAAGGTACACTCGTTTATTTTTAGAAGAAAAGTCGTTTTTTTATCTAATCTGTTATTTGTGATATAATAAACCGAAGAAATAATTTTTTTTTTATTTCCAGACATATCCTGAAACAAATTGTTGATTGATTCCGGATAACCAACTCAGTTGTTTTAATAATGACGATTTTTTTGTAACACTTTATTCAGTGAGATTTTTGCAACATGATTCAATTAGTTCTGGTGGCTGCTGTGTTAGCAGCCATTTTGTATTACTTCTGCATCAAACCCATGAACTACTGGAGAGAACGAGGTGTCAAACAGAACGATCATCCAGTATGGCTATTTGGAGAGAACTGGAGAACAACAATCAGAAAGGAAAGCTTTTTTGAGTTAGTTGTCAGGTGTTATAACCAATTTCAAGGCACAAGGTAAGTGACTTCAACCTGAAATATAATTGATATTCCTTCAAGTGCACAATTTGAATGGAACTTCGGGAAAACACTTGAGTTCTACATCAATTTTGACGGATTTGTGTGTTACTTAGTATTCGTAACAATTTTTCATGAATCTTGCTCACCTGAAACCAGGAACATTTCGACTTTCGCAGAAGATATATGATATGTTTTGGAAATATCTCAATTGAAATTTGGAAAGCAGGGGACTTGAAATCTATTTATCGAAATGTAATGAAACTTGTGGAATTAGGGTCAGTCATCATCATGGTCGGTGACCATGATGATGACTGACTGCAACAAATTTATTTGAACAGTTTTTCGTCGAATGACCATTTAGAAGGGCTAGTAATTGATTTAATTTCAAGTTGATGCTATACGTTATCCACAACAATCCACAAAATCAATAAGAAAAATACAGCTTTGTGTTATTCACGTAGAGATATCATTTAATTTCGTCAGATGGAGAGAGTGTTGCGTCACTCGTCGTCAAAAGGATGCTATCAGTTCCATTTTTCAATTAGAAAAGGAGGACTCGTGATACTTCGTTTGATAGGTATTTAAAATTTTTATCCAATCCTCCTTTATTTTATTTCCATAAACATAAACAATTTTGTCGTGAAATATTTATTGGAATAATATGAAATATGCTTTGAATATTTTTCTACTTGAAATTTTCATAAGTTCATTCAGGAGAGACCAAGAAATATTTGAACGAGAATCTCCTAATATAAAAAAGTTTTCAACTGAAGAAGACCAATCCTACTTATGTGTGCCACCTTTTGGAAAGCAATTACGATTTCAACACTATTTACGATATACTACATACAGGTAGAAAATGAAGGACGAAAATCAAATCTGCTGGAGTCTCTGGTAATCAATAAGAACAAACATTCAAATATCCTGTTAAATGATCAACACGAAGTTAGCCACTCACAGTTGTTAAACCTTTTTCCATAATGCTAATAATTTCACTCATATTCAAAATGTACTCTCTGACATTGTAATTTATTTACGAATTTTACCTGTTATTGAAACCCGTTTAGCAGAAGGCCCAAGAGGTGCCACTCTTGTGGCAACTCAAGGATAAGCAATTGCATGGCAATGCTTCAACAGCATTGAAGACCTTGGCTTATCAAAACAACACATTTCGCTTTCCTCAGGTCGAGTGGGCTGAAGTCGGAAACTGAGGGGTTCACCATTGTCTGCCACGATGTTGTCTTTTCTTAGTCTACCGCAGTCGCGTGATGGGTAAGGAGGTTCCTTATATAAAGTGCAGGACCTGCTGTGACCTGCAAGTGCTAAAGCACTTGCTGGCAGCTTTTCTAGCATATTTCAGCCTATATTTGTCGACATATCGCAGCCCTGAGAGTATTTCGTTACCACTTTTACAGTATTGACGGTATTTCCACGGTGAAGAAAGTGGTCGTTGGTTGATAAAACTGGCACGCTCCCTTGAATGTATCGGGGTTTCGGGAGATTTGGCCTGACTAGCGCAAACTGAGCTTACATTTTCATTGTCAACCATTTAACCGAAATTGAACAGGAAATATTACAGTTGTTACAGGAAATAGTGATGAACAAAAGGTAACGTGTTCTCCCACATGATCCCAGTTTATTCCTAAAATACTATTAGAGCTGTTCAATGGAAGGCTATGCAGGCTTATTCAAATTCGTTTCTGTACATGGGGATCTCGTAAACGATGAGAGATAGAGTGTTGTTTGAATTGTGGCAAAGTTGCGTATTTTATAGACATATTCAATGATGTAAAAAAATCGAATTTAGTTTTTTTTATAATCTTTTATACTGTAATAAACTCACTTCAGGTTCATTTATAAGGAACGGAATGAAACGACTTCGTAGAANACATGGTGTCATCTGACTTGGGCCACCCCCATCTTTGAAGTTTTGAATACGGACCTGTATTTTTTGTTTCGTCGACGTTCACTTCATACTGAGAAAAAATATTCAATTATATATTTCGGGATGTTTCGGTAATATTTGATTATAATTGGGTGAATTAATCCCTAATAAACTACGGCCCTGGAAATTGGTTGACTGGGTTAAATAAAAACACGATAGGAACTATCACGTCTCCCTTTGTACCGTAGAGTTTTTAGAGGGTTTTTTTTTTCGTTTTTAGGTACCTATTCATATTTTTTCCATTGCTCTGAGCATTTTCTACAATGAACTTCGAATAAGAAAACCTTTCATGATTATCTGAAACATATCTACAACAAAAATACATGATATGTGCTTTGATGAACAGAAAAAGAAATGATAGCAATAATAACATCCGAAACGAAATGAAAATTGGAATGAAGTAATTTATATATACAAAAAATTAATGGCACAGTAAATGTTCGAATTGGAGTCTTTCCATTTTGAGACAAATAATGGGCCAATAAGATGGCCTGCAAGATCACCAGATCTTACTATTTTGGACTATTTTCTATAGGGGAAATTGAAAAATAGGTTTCACGCTGGTAGAGAGATAGAAAATGTGGAAGACTTGAGATTGAGGATTTTGAATGATTTCGCAACAATGCAGCAAATAAGTATATTAAGTGCAATGAATAATATAAAAACCGAGTTCGAAAATGTCTCGAAATGGATGAACTCCAATTAATTTTTTTACGTATAATATATATTACTTCATTTCAATTTTCATTACAATTATAGTGTTCGTTTCAAATGTTATTATTGCTATCATTTCTTTTTCTGCCTATTAAAACACATTCAATATATTTTTTATGTAGATATATTTCAGATAATCATAAAAGGTTTTCTTATTCGAAGTTCATTGTAGAAAATGCTCAGAGCAATGGAAAAAATATGAATAGGTACCTAAAACCAAAAAAAAATCTCTCGAAAAACTCTACGTTACATAGGAAGACGTGAAAATTGCTATTGTGTTTTTATTCAACTCAGTCAACCAATTTCCAGGGCCGTAATTCAAAAGTGATTAATTCACAAAATTATAATCAAATATTACCGAAACATCCCGAAATATAAAATTGAATTTGATTTCTCAGTATGAAGTAAACATCGGCGAAACAAAAAATGCAACAAAAAATACAGGTCCGTATTTAAAACTTCAAAGAGGGGGGTGGCCCAAGTCAAATGACACCCTGTATAAAAGATTCATGGACATATTCTGATCGCCCACATCAAGTGCCAATGGCAAAATGTGGACAGATATTCAATGTTTTTGCGAATGAAGAAGATATAGGTAAAAAAATAATTTGGGTTTTTTTTGTTTTTCCTGTATATCTCCAGAACCAAAAGAGCTATATTGGATTTTTTCACATCATTGAATAGGTCTTTAAAATACACAATACCCGACACTCTATTACTTATCGTTTACGAGATTCCCATTTACATAAAGGAATTTGAATAGCCCTATAATAATACAGATTTCTGTAGTTACGCATAATCATTTTCACATTCTATGGAGTGAAAAAAAATAAATATTAGTGATAATAATCTATTGCATTAATGTTTGAAGGAGTCATTATTGTTGGATTGAAACATTGAAAATAATTATTAATAAATTTAGTTGTTGGTTCGAATTTCGCTGGTATCTTGCTTAGTTTTTAAGTCTTATATCTCCTGATAATATGCTCACTTGATAAACAAAAATAGCGTTGAGGGGCAGAATTTTTGTTCTGGTAATGGAAAAGTGTTTCTAGTAGATGATTGACTAATTTGAGAAAATATCCAATTTACTCAGACGGACAAGTTTCATTCATTATAAGTCATAGCTGAAATGCAGAAGACAGTTGAATCAAACCTCACTTTCAGTCAACCATGTGTCAATAACCAAGAGGAAAAAAAACAATTTCTGTAATTTATCAATGTCTTGATGATGATAATATTGAAACATTTCTGTATTTGAACCTAATTGGAAATGAGTTTCTTTGACATACCCCAGTCTACTGGTTTTTTAACTGTTTTCTACAAATAAGTCACTCTTTGATTGAGTTGTAATGTATTCATTCTCCTGTATAATAATGATATTGTTTGTTTTCAGATATCATGGGATCTATCAACTCATTCAACCTACTTTATTGATAAAAGATCCTGAACTACTGAGAAAAATCACTGTTAAAGATTTTGATCACTTCACTGACCACAGAAGCTTTTTTTCAGAAGAGACTGATCCTCTATGGGGCAAAAATTTATTTACATTGAGAGGTATGGATGTCTTTTCAGTTTCAGCCTAATTTTTTCCCATTTGGAAATACAAAATAATCTTAATATTTTTTTTGAATACTTTTTCCATGAATATTACTGGAGTTTTTTTCCATTACCAAATCGTTATTTTCAACACCTCGACACGTGTTTCGATCACCAAGTCATCATCTTCAAAGAGAAAGATTAAGAGGAAATCTAGTTTAATCTTCCTCTTTGAAGATGATCACTTGGTGATCGAAACACGTGTCGAGGTGGTTAAAATAACGATTTGGTGTTGGGAAAAAACTCCAGTAATATTCATTACTACACCAAAGGTTCCAAACAGTGCATCATAAGTACTTTTTTCATACTAAACACTCCTGGAGAAACTGTTGATAGTAAAACACCTCTTCTGAATTTGTGTACTGTTCAGTGGAAACCTGAGAAAGTAAGTAACAAAGGCTAAATTCTATTCAAAGAAGAACTCGGAGATCTCTACGGAAATTGGAATAATATAATATGATGTGGTGTGCCTTCGAATGTTACACCACCGGCACCGCCTGACTCCATGCAAAACGAGTGTCACCGTTAGCGTTACGCTAGTTGCACACACACCAATTTTGGACGGCCAGTATAAAATTGGGCGATATTTTATTGGTAGCGGGTGCTTGCACACTCACCGGATTTGTATCGGTCAAACAATCAGTTGCTTTGTTGTCGTAATTAGCACGCACTACCAAAACGAAGTTAATGCGTAGTACCTACAATTTCACCGAGCATTCGAGACTGGAATGGTCGGTAAAAAACCGGTGAGTATGCAAGAGTGTATTTAGTCATGTACGCCACTACTTCCCGGTACTGCCGGCGATACAGTGGCAGTGGACGACTGCTCACTGGTATTTTACCGGCGACGATCACCGGTCGGCGTGTGTGCCAGGTCCCATTCCCACATGTGGGTTCACTATTGGAATTTGGACGACCGGTACAAAGTCGGCCGTCCAAAATCGGTGTGTGTGCAACTAGCGTTAGGAAACAATGTCTCAACTGAATATTGAACATGTTAAAGCGTAAATATTTCCAGTACGCAAGTGATTCTCAAATTTTGGACGATCCTAATCATTACAAATTAAGAACCAGAACAAACATTTTCTATGAATAATAAAGTCAAGAAAAATGAGAATTGAAACTTCATATGTTTTCAACCACTTTTATTTGTAACTAACGTTACTGCAGTTTTGTCCTGAAAGGACATTTTCAAACTTATACATTATACGGTTTAATGTATTTGTTTGAAAATATTATTTGTAACTAACGTTTGAACGTTACTTACGAATAAAAGTGATAAAAAACTTAGAAAGTTTCAATTCTCATTTTTCGTCATGATTTCCTATCACGTATAACGGCTTTGAATAATGAGGTATTCAAAACTGAAGACAGAATGAATATTCAGAAAGTTCAAGATGTTTTAATTTCATCCAGCAGCAGGACCATGCTGAAATTATTCGAGTGGATCACCTATAAACCGGTTTCATGGGATTGCTTCCCGTCAGTGACGAAAAAATTTAACGTTTGTTTGAAGGTGATTGACAATGTTTCATGATGAATTTCATTAGTTCGGACTTCCATTGTCCAATATCATATAAAATGATTTGAAATCCCTGAAAGAACTAATGAAAATGAAGAATCAAATAAAGAAGAATTGAAGAAGAATAGCTGAAAATAACAATTATAATAACAAAAATTCCCTGAAAATAGAACAATTGGACAAAAAATAAAAATGAAAAATTAGGCGATTCCAAACCAAGTCACTTCACGACGTTTCGTCTTCGGGTGATGACTGGACTAATTCTTCCGAGAGATGACCATTTATGGGTTATTCGAGTACTTGCACTCATCTCCGATTTCCTTTTTCCGCTCCACCGGTTTAGCAGGTGCTATGACTGTTTGGCGTGAGTTGGCCATTTTTCGCTTGATTATGGGTTTCCATATGTTCCGTATCTCTACGCGAGATTTACTGAATACTTGGACAAAATGTATGTGGCTTCTTTGAATTTCTTCCTAAACCATTGTTCCTCCCTGTGTATGATCCCAGCTTGGGACCACTCGATGTTATGTTGATGGGTCCAAACATGCTCTGATATTCCTGATTTGCTGATTTCCCCTCGCTGTGTGAGTTTTTTGTGCTCAGGAATGCGAACTTCCAATGGCCTCTCAGTTTCACCGATATAGGACTTTCCGCACTCACAGGATATCCGATAAATGAAATTCTTGGAATCGCAGTCGGCGTTTGATGTCCTGGTATTCATGAGATTGCTACAGATGGTGTTTCCGGAACTGAAGCAGGTTCTAATGTTGTACTTGGACCCAATTCGTCTTATCCTTTCCAATAATCCTCTGATGTAGGAAATATGGCAAGTACTGGTTATAACGACTTCTCTTCCTTGCGAGGCTCCTGCTGTCTATTAGCCGAAGTCCCTTCCACCATCGCTTTATAGATCATCCAATATAGATCATTTTTGATCATGTCTAGTTTCTTCTCGAGACCTTCGTTAGTATTAGAGCCCGAAAGTACGTTCTGATAGAGTTTTGATGATTTCTCTCTTGGTCGATTGATGGTGGTTGGATCCGTGGTTCAGATACTGTCCCGTGTGAGGGGGTTTTCGGTATACAGATGTTTGCCACTTGGTGTCGGTCATCTTAACCAATACGTCTAAGAATTGCAATTCGGTGTAGTCTTCCTTCTCTATTGTGAAAGTTTTTTTCATTCCTTTTTTTTGGCAGTTTTCGCAGAGATTTCTAATCATTTCATATAATATCAGACAATGGATGAGCTAATGAAATTCAGAAAAAAAATCATTTCAACGCAGCTCCGCTACATATATGAAACTTTCATCGAAGAGAAAGATTGATAACTAGTACCAGCTCCATCTCGTGAACAGAGCCCCAAGCGAGGAAGGAAAATGTACCAACACTCTAACAGAAATCAAAACTGTTTTTTCCCGCTAGGGGCTTGGAGCACGAGATGGAGCTCTCACCAATTAACAATCTTTCCCTCAGACGAAAGGTTCATATATGCATATTAATCTTTTCTGCACTGGCGAGAAGTAATTCCATGAAACCGGTCTGTGGATGATCTAGTCGAATAATTTCGACATGGTCCCTGCTACTGGATGAACTTGAAACATATGCGAGGCTAACTTCTGTGAGGTATGTTGCATGAATATTCAATAGCAGCGTAGTACCTAGTAGCCAGGGAATCATTTGTTTTCCGGCAGACCTTTACCAGAGTCTACTGAGTAGGTAATTGGGAGACATTTATTCATTTACTTGAATGAAGTACCCGGCAGACAGTGTACGTTCATGACTTTGTCCTTTTGAATAGTACACAGCTCGTTAAAATCAATAAAAGAGAGTCCAAATATGGTACTCCAATTTTAGGGTCAATTTCAGAACCTTCCATCTTCCTTAAATTGATTGATGAGTCACCAATTGTGTCCTCGAATACAATTTTTTTTTCTATATACGGAGGATAAAACATTAATGAACTCAGACAGAAACGTTGATGCAGCTCATTTCGAAAAAATGATTTTTAGCAAAACGTTTGAAAGTATATTATTCAGAGACAATCAAACATACCCATATAGAAAGCAACCAGGAACCTTTGAAACTTCCAAACCTCGTATTTCTTGACTCTCATCTTCACTTAACAAATCCAACATCATAGCAAGATCGTTTTTTTAGCATGACTTTCTAACGCTACTAGATGTTCCTGGTCCTAGTTGTTTCATGTCCTTTCCGTGGAATTATATAAATTGTCTACCGAGCTCGAAAACTTTTTTGAAAGTTCATTTCCCAGAGTCGTGATGGACTGGCGAATCGGATCAAATTCTTGTGATCTTTGTGTCGGTGGTGACATTGTTAATTACCTTGTCAGATAATATATCAACAACGAAAACCACGTTGGAAAAAAAAATGTTATAAAACGATAAACTTCAACTACAATGAAAAGTAATACCGGAATAACATAATGACATTTACCTGGCGATTTTAATTTCATAAGCTGAGCTAAGATTAATATAAAGATTTCCCAATAAACAAGTATTGACACACAATAATCACTATATCACAATAACACTCAAAATATTTATCTATTCAATAAGTCATCCACAGCACAAACAATCGGGTGATGATTTATGATAAGAATCAAATGATGCCCCACAACAAACGCTTCAGATCTGGTTACCTACCAATTTGTTCGCTCCTATTGGTCATTGTAACGTGCGAACTGCACCCGCCCAATTTCTTTCTTGTCGCAACCTTAAATATATCCACATCCGCATGCACATCCGCATTGATTATTGCGTATGTGGATGCAGATATCTGAATAAGTATAGATAACTTCGGCTCAAAATAGTTCAACGTTCTTTGACTATTCATCAGACAGTTATAATACAAGAGGTACAGGGTGTTTCAAATTCGATCCTCACCATTGGGATCGCGGAAACTATGAGAGATACGAAGATGGTTAAATTGGGGCCAAGTTGCGCATTTATCTGACTAACAATATGCCGTTGAGAAAGTTATGAAATTCCAAGTATAATCGGAAAATGGTTTTAATTTTTTTCTGGCTTTTTCTTCGAAGGATTCGAAAATAAATTGCTATAAATTGCAATGGATCCATAGTCTTTTCAACAGCAAAGAAATCTATTCTGAAAGCGATTGACGTCATTCGTTACACAGCCATCAGAATTGCTATGGGGGCGTTTTGTACCAGTCCAGTAGGGAGCTTATTTGTAGAAGCAGGAGAACAACCCCTCGAGCTCCGTCACCAATACCTAACATTGAAGTATGCTGTGAGAATATCAGCCAATACATACAAATCCTACCTGTCGAAATACGTTCTCAAACTGATACGCACGCATTTTCCCACAAAACAAAGCCATACCCACACCACTATATGCCCAAATCAATAAAATAGTTACTGCCTCATTTAACTTCCGTAACACCTACCCTATTAACAT